GACAGTGTGCAAGCGGGGGAGGGGTAGAGAGAGGGAGACACAGAATCCTAGGAGGCTCCAGGCTCTGAGCTGTCAGCACAGTGCCCAACGCGGGGCTCGAACTCACAGACTGTGAGATCGTGACCTGAGCCCAAGTCAGATGCTTAACCGACTGAGCCATCCAGGCACCCCAATATTTTTAAAAAAGGATAACAAAAGGTTTAAATTACTCAGATGGAGGAGATTTGATAATTGTAAGAAGTTGTCCCGTAATTGTCCTGTTGCTTCCCCTCCGAGCCCTGAGGGCTCAGGTTCCCCGACTTGCGAGACAGAGCCTTCATCTCTGTCCTGAAAGGATAGTGGTGTTAATGCACCTGACTTCAGAACAGCAGAGCAGCGGTTTGCTCTGAGAGGGGATTGTGGGCAGAGAGGTGTGCGTGGGCCTTCTGGGGGAAGGCTCTGTTTTTGGGGGCCTGTGTGTTGGCAACATGAGCATTTGTTTTCTAGTTGTTCAGAAAAGTGTGTGTGTGTGTGTGTGTATAATTCCACCAAACTCTGCCATTTTCTGCACAACTTACCCTTCTTAAGTAACTTGTCAGTTCCGCAAAGGCAAAGACCGTTTCTTGTCTGTAGCTCTTTCCCTCTGTGTCACGGACACAGAGTCCGTGCTAAGTGCTAAGTGAGCGCACCTGTGCGAACGGTGTTGTCTGAGTTGTGATAAAGGAGTATGCAAATGAGCTGATTGTTCATCAGGGTCTTTTAAGGTGCTTTAATTATTTCGAATCGTGAGTTTCACATTTTCTTTTCTGTTTTCACCAGACACAAGCTGTTCTGCGACAGGCCTGGCTTGAGAACATCCGTCCGGTTTTAGTGATTAATAAGATAGATCGCCTGATAGTGGAGCTGAAATTCACCCCCCAGGAGGCCTATTCTCACCTCAAGAATATTCTAGAACAGGTATTTCATCCTTCCCTTCCATACTTTAAAACTCGGGGCTCGAAGAAGAGTTGTAAGGAAGTCGGTAAGTTGAGAGTAACGCGTTGCCACAGAACTTCACTTTTACGCAGCGTTTCCACCTGAGATCCCCATGTGTTGGAGTCCTCGTGCTGCAACAGGGGACACGGGACACGCCTCCCCTCGGGAGCCCCTCCGTCTCCTGGAGGCATCCTCGGGTACAAAGCGTGCATGATAGGATTAATGCTGTCCTTTAAAATCTTGTAGTTTGGTTCCAAACTGAAGCAGTATTAGGAGGCTTTTCTTTTTTTGTTTGTTTGTTTTTTTAGCATCTATTTTTCGATAACATTTTACCCAGTCATTCATTTATTTCCCCAGCCGACATTTACATAGCTGCGTGTTGAACGGTGAATTCTGGGATGTCCTTTGTGTGATAGGGGTGAGAATGTGACTACAGGTCAGAATCCCTATTTTCGAAGATCTCACAGCGGTGGGGAGATTTTAAGGAGAACTTTGGAGACCATGCGAAGCCCCAGGCGTGGTTTTGAGGGCCACCACACCCAGCCTGGGTCAGGAGCGGGGAGAGTTAGGCAGAGTGGCAGCAGAAGCTTCAAGATGGAAAAAGGTGGGGATATCGCCGGGGCCTTTAGGAAAGAGGGGATGAGATGTGCAAGGTCGTAAACGCCAGAAAGAGCACGATACGCTGCAAATGGCTGGTCCTACCTGGAGAATGAGGTCACGTGCGGCAGAGGCAGGAGGTGGGAGTGGGAAGGAATCTGGGGCTTAGATTATGGCGACCCTCGTGTGCCAGGCGTGAGGCTTTGAACTTTGTTCAGGACGGTGGGGCACCCCTGAGGAGGCCAACTGAGAATATTTCTTGGCCGGAGGGCGGAGACGATCAGAGCAGAGCGGCACAGAAGAGTGGATCAGCGGATCCGGTGCCCCGTAGAGGCGGACCGGCATGGCCCCGGGCCAGTGGCGTTTGCAGCCACGAACGGGCTGGCAGGTTGGAATAGGGGTAGCTTGCAGGACTTCTGAATAAAATGTTCCATTTTCTCTCTGCGGTAGGAAATGAGGTGGTGACTTGGGAGGGAAAGAGTCGAGGACTGGTGGCCGGGAAGGGGGCCTGACGAGAGTGGAGAAAAGTCCAGGTGTGAGAACTGGCCGGGGAGCGGGGGCTCAGCCTCTGAACTAGCCTGTGAACTCACTAGGGACCGTGAGTCCCTAGTGACGCCAGGCCAGGTGCTAGAGACGGGCCGCAGATACCGCCCCCTCGTGTCGATGTGACATTCCCAGTCACAGAGGTGACCTTTCCAAAGCTTCCAGTTTAGTCTCGCTGGGTTCGGAAGGAGAGGGCTGTAAGTTAGTCACTGTTGTGCGCCTCACCTCCGCCCGTGGGTGCTTCCCAGGAGCCCTGCGTGACTGGTGATCCTCGACCGCGCATCTCCTACGCCTCCGAGTGACGTTCCGCCTTTCACCGTCTCTCCTAGATTAACGCGCTCACAGGAGCTCTTTTTACTTCGAAAGTCCTAGAAGAGAGAGCAGAGAGAGAGACTGAGTCCCAAGTGAATCCAGGTTCTGAGCGAGGAGAGCAAGTGTATGACTGGAGCGCTGGCTTGGAGGACACGGACGATTCTCACCTCTACTTCTCTCCGGATCAGGGCGGTGTGGTGTTTGCAAGTGCGGTAGACGGCTGGGGCTTCGGGTAAGTGTCCGAGCCTCCCGAGCTCCCCTCGGGGACTGTTTGCAAGGCTGGTCTTCTCCGTGGAGCTTCTTGTTTGGCCACGATCACCGACGCATGTGTAGTTGCAAGAAAGGCTAGAGCCCTCCTGTACCCAGGTCCCAGTACCCGCCGCCCCGCCCCCGCCCAGCGCTGATGTTGACGTCGATACAGTGCGTCACCGCAAAGACCCCCTCACGTACCCACAGCCGCTTCCTCGCACCCCCGGCCCCACCTTCCCCCTCGCAGTCGCCAAATGTCTTCCATCTTTATAAGGTGTCGTTTCAAGGATGTCATAGAACCAGAATCAAACGCTCTGCCACCTTCTCTGGATTGGCTTTGTCACTCGGTGTAATTCTCCAGAGACTTAACTAGGTTGTTGCACGTGTCGGCAGTCGGTTCCTTTTTATTGCTTAGTAGCGTTCCCCGGTGTGGACCTACCACGGTTTAACTGTTCACACATTGGAGGACACCTGGCTCTTTTCCAGTTTGGGGCCGTTCTGCGGGAAGCTGCCACAAGCATGCCCGAACGCCCGGGTAGGTGTTTCGGGGAAACGAGTTCTCATTTCCCTGGGGTGAACGCGCGGGAGTGCTTTTGCTAGGTCGTGTGGCAGCCGTGTGTTGTGGGCTTAGCGTCGAGCTGTTTTCCCAAGGGGGCGAACCATTTCACGTCCCGGCCGGCAGCGTCTGGGTGACTGGTCTGGATTCTCCACGTGTCACCACTGTTTGGTGTGGTCACTTTTTTTTTTTTTTTTTTTTTT